GAGTAGTGACTACTAGGGGCTGGGAGGAAGAGAGGATTGAAGTGACTGCTAAAGGGTAGGGGCTTTCTTTCTGAGCTCAATTAAGTGTTTTATTGTGTGGACAATAAAATAACTCTGTGAATATATACTAAAATCCATTTAACTGTACACTTTAAATGGGTGAACTGTATATATATGAACTATATCTCAATAAAGTTGTTGAGAAATGTTTGTGCTGGTGTGGTGGCGCACACCTATAATCCTGGTGACACAGAGGAGGCTGAGACAAGAGGACTGAAAGTTTGAGGCCAGCCTCAGCAACTGCACAAGGCCCTTTCTTGAAAGATAAAAAGGGCTGGGGATATAGCCAGTGGTAAAGCACCCCTGCGTTAGATCCCCAGTACCAAAAAAAAAGAAAAGAAAGAAATGTTTCATAAACCAGATGTGGCAGCACATATATGGAGGACCAGAGACCCAGGAGGCTGAGGCCGTACGGTCACTTGAGATGGACAACATCACAAGAACCCATCTCCAAAAAAAAAAAATGTTTGATGAATTTACTCTCTTCTCTCCAGTTCTCATGAACATAAACAAATTTATTTTCCTACCACAGCACAAAGCTTAGAACAGAGATGGCTGGAAATTTTGAATGAAGGTTTCTCTTGAAAAGGGAAAACACCACCCACTATCTACCTCTGAAATCCTTTGATTGTTCCAAGTGCAGACAGATTCCAGTGGATGGTGTTGCCACAAACAGTTTGAGTGGCCACGCTCATGCCCCAGGGACCTCTCAGGGGTCCACAAAGCTACAAATCAAGGGCTAGAAGCAGCCACTGAGCGCTAAGCAACAGAGCAAGTCCCTCAGTGCAGCACTTTCTCCCCTCCCACGCCTCCCATGAGCTGGAAGGCAGGTGTGGAGTATCATCTGGACAGCTAGGGCCAGAACTTGCGCCAAGCTACCCAATGACACCAAAACCAGGCTCCGTCCCTTATCCTCTGCCTCATCAACACCCAAAAACACTGAGCAGGGGCACAGGTCAGATGTGCTCCACTGGTCTGTGACCATCAACAGGAGGTCCCCTCTACAAAACTGGGGGACTTCACTGTCTGCAAGAATCAAACAAGAAAACAAGCACCTCAAGTATGGGGCCGGTGCCCAAGATCTCCTGGTTAATGGGCGTGCAGGTCAGACACTAAACACCCAGATCAAAGGACAGGCCGAGCGAGCCACCACCAGGACTGGAGTTCCCAGAAGGACTGGGCCCTTGGACCTGTCAACAGCATCCAGTGCTCATCAAGAACCAAACCGCTCCCAAGCTCCCAGCTTGATCACAAACACACCAAGGAGTATCCAGAGAACCAAATGGGAACCACACACATGCGTGCGCACATGCACACACACAAAAACACACTCACAGACAAGCAGGACACACGCCACTTTCAGGCTGGGAGGAAGCTGGTTCTTTCCAGGGGAAGTGCGAGCAACCAGACCACAAGAGGGAAAAAAAATCACTGTTGTGCCCAAGACATGGCAAAACTGAAGAGCAGGACTGAAAACACCTCCCTCCCAGATGACGCTGACACAATCCAAGAGGAAAGGCACAGCAAGGGCCACCAGACCCCGCTCCTGTGAACTCCCAAGGTGGCTTCTCAAAGAACCCATTCAGCCCCCAGGGCCTCTCGTCTTGGGAATGTTGACACAGGGACAGGCCCAATGACTTTTTCCAGACTTTGAAAGAATAATTATTTTGGCCAATTTAGGGAATATTGGAATAACTGACAAAGTAGGAATTCAAAGTTCCTGAAAGAATCCTCATCTCCACTGAACAAGATGTAATCCATTTTCAATTCCTTGGTTTGTTTCTGTTGTTGACAACATTTTTTTAACCCTCTTTTTGGCTCTGGATGGTTCAGCCTGAAAGTAACTCAAGTTTCCTGGCGTCTCCTCACATCCATGTGAAAATACTACAAAACATCTGGGCGCACCAGCTATCCTAACCCCGGAGGGCAAAACGGAGCATCTGTGACCACATTAGGTGCCTCCACAAGATCTCCAGGCAGCTGCTGGCCCCAGCGAGCCAAGTGAGGTCCGGCTGACCCCATCTGCAGTGAGAGTCACAGGACTGGGACAGGCCTCCACCTTCCAGTGCCCAGGGGGCAGACAGCAGGGAATGCGACTGGCCAGAACCCAAGTCGGAGGACACAGCTCTCCCCTAGACCCCAGAGGCAGAGGACAGAGTGCTCCTACTAGAGCACTGCCCCCTATACACGACACAGTTGACCATTTAACTTCTGCAGAGCTGCCACACGAGTCCCCCCTTTCCCATCTCCACTGGGCAGTACGTTAACCCAACCTGCACAGTGGGCCCCAGCCTGCCCTTCTCCCTCGCTCCTTCCTGACCCTCAGATCACTCTCAGATCACCCTCAATTCCTGCCTCCAAGACTCAAGCATTCTCTTCTCCTCTAAGAAGGTAGAGGAACAGTGCACTATCACCCTGAGATAAGGAGCCTCAGGCCAGCATCAGATTCTGACTCCTGAAAATGTGGCTTAACATCTCCCTGAGGGGCTGAGGGTGTGGCTCAGCGCTGGCCTAGCACGTGCCGTGTGAGGCCCTGGGTCCTCAGCACCACATATAAATAAATAAAATAAAGGCACTGTGTCCAACTACACCTAAAAAAAATTTTTTTTAAATCTCCCTATGTTCAAAACACCAGCAGTAAGAAAGATTTCTGAAAGGCAGCCCCGCCCTGGCTGGGCCTGGAGTCCCTCTGGGGCTGGAACCAGGAGCCCTGGGGGGAGACTGTGGTGCTGAAGGTACTCAGTTGCGCAAAGCTGAAGTTCACCAAAGCCTGCTTCACGCCGCCTTTGCAAAGAGGGGCGCTTTCAACAGCAGGGAGGTGCATGACATCCATCCTGTGTCCCAAAGGTGCCAGTGGCCCGAGGGTCGGGGTCCTCCTTCCTACAGTGACCCCCCAGGAGCCACTCAAACAGCTGGCACCACCAGAGACCTCCCAATCAAGCCTGATACTCAGAAAGCAGAAGCCAGAGTGGCACAGGATACAATCAGACCAAAAGCACACCTCCCTCTAAGTCACTCCAATGTGGCCTGGAGAGCGAACACTAAGGGAGTCCAAACCTCTCTACTTTTTTTTCCCCTTTGGTACTTGGGATTGCACCAAGGGCGCTCTACCACTGAGCCATAACCCACCCCGCCCCCCGTCCTTTTTAATTTCTATTTTAAGAGAGGGTCTCACTTAAGTTGGTTAGGGCCTCGCTAAATTGCTGAGGTTGGCTTTGAATTTGTGATCCTCCTGCCTCAGCCTTTGGAGCCACTGGGATTACAAGTGCACCACCACACCTGGCACCTCTCGATTATTTGAAGACAGTACCTTTGCATCTACCTTTACTTATCATCTCAGGTTTTCCCCAAAAACTCTGTATTGTGAAATATATCACAAACACACACAGAAAGGGGTATAAAATTTCTGTGGGAAGGCTCGTGATGTGGCTCAATGGTAGAGCTCTGCCTAGCATGAATGAGGCCCAGGGTTCAATCACGAGCACAGGGGAAAAAAAAAAATTTACTGGCAGGTGAACAAAATTATACTTCAAACACATGTAACCAACATGAAATACAATGACCTCTAGCACCCCAGAAACCTCCCTTGTACTGTATCCCTTATAGATCAGACCCCCTTTCACCTACCAGATGTGACCACGAGCCTAATTTTTATGGTATTATCTTCTCTGCTTTTCATTTAAACTTTTATCACCCACATAAGCATACCCACACAACAGACCCTATTTCAGATGTGTCTGAATGTTCTAGAAATTGAAGTCACGTAGTATGTGTTTTTTGTGCCAGATGTTTTCTCAAAATCCTCACTACAGAGTAAGGGGACCCAGGAGTAAGGGGACCCAGTCTCAGATTTACGTAAGAAGTTACAGAATGGAACATCCCTCAGGTCAATCATCAGAGGACAACTCTCCAGCTCTAAAAGCCTAATGATTTTGTTTGCTAAGACTCTGAATCAACACACACAACTGATAACAGGGTCACCTCCAGGGTATGGAACTAGTTTGGTGGGAGACAGATAAGGAAGAGAAAGGTGAGAGAAACTATGTCTTTTGTACCAAAAAGTGAAAGAATAAGGACAACTTTTACATGGATTCCACTGAAAGAACCATTTCTGGAAAAAAGTGGCAAGAGCGCCATTAATTCAAATTTTATAACACCAGTACTTTAGATATACAAATATTACCTTCCTTGCTGCATGATTATGCAGACGTTAAATAGAAAATTTCAAAAACTACTTAGCGGTGCAGAAAAATATCATCTGAAAGGAACAGGCTGCAAGAACGTTCATCCGGGACACAGGAAAGAGAACTACACAGCAAGCACACAGGAAGAAAGGAAAGGCACCGAGGGGACAGCTGTGTTAATGTGGTGGCACAGTGGCTGAGGCGCCTTCACCAAGTGCTGTACTTATGGCTATATCACTTATATGACACATTCTCAATGCACCATTTCACATACTGCAATAAAACTGTCCTACGTCTGATTTCAACTCATTCGTGAGACTCCTGGGGTACAACGCTTCACCAGCACAAACCAGGCTTCAGAAGATTGCTGGGCAAAAACCTGATCTCACTTCTTCAGAGCCAATCCCAACTTCCTCCAGCCCACACGGAACTTCCCTGGGCTATATTCAAATTCCACATCACTTCACTTTAGATCTGCTGAACACAAACTCTGAAACCTGTAGGGAGCTAAAAGACCCCCAAACACCTACCCACAACCCAACAGCAAAACGCCTTCAACAGTTGCCACAGAACACAGCATGAAGTATGGATCCAGGAGAACCCCAGGGGCCCCATCTGAGAGTTCAACACTGACATGTGCCCCAAGACACTTTTTATGGAACTTCCCCCCCTTATCAGGTTATGATTTTTATTAGTTCTATAAGAAAAAAACAGAAAGTGTGATCCAGAGGGCAGCGATGCCCAGCTGGGTCCTACCTGTGGTCTCCCAGGCTGTGTGGGGTCCACACCTTGGGCTCCTGACAGCACAGCTGGTCCTGGGAGGCTGCATCCAGCACCTGCCCACCACCCCTGCAGTCTCCCTGCCACCCAGGCACACAGGATGGCAAACATCTCTTTTTGTACTTCATTTTTCTCAGGAAAGAAAATAATACTAAAACAGAATTCCCCCACCCAGAACACATCACTTTCTTGCTAACCACAAATGCTGGCAAAATCAGTTCTACATAATAATGATTCTTTAGTTCCTCTTTCTTCAAATGGACACATTTTACCTTGCAAATTGTGCCTGGGGGGGGGGTCCGGTGAGGAAGGGGGTAAGGGGGCACCAGTAAAGACCAACTATTCAAACTTTAAAATTCCTATATAATCAAACTAAAATGTGATCCAATCATTTAAAAAAAATGATAAAACGCAATTCTCTTCGTTTAAGCCTCTTTTACAGCAGATGATATTCTAGATACAGAGAGGTAAAGAAAAACAAGTTTCTGTCCATCAGAAGTTCAAATTTAAAATGTATAAAGTAGGGGCTGAGTGTGTGGCTCAGTGGTGGAGCGCCTGCCTAGCACGTGTGAGCACTGGGTTGGAGCCTCAGCACCACATAAAAATAAATAAATAAAATAAAGGTATTGTTTCTGTCTACAACTAAAAAAAAAAAAAAAAAAGCCCTTGGGCCTGGGATTGTAGCTCAGTGGTGGGGAGCTTGCCTACCACCTAGCACATGTGAGGCACTGGGTTTGATCCTCAGCACCACATATAAATAAAGGTCTATCAACAACTAAAGAAATTTACCAAAAAAATTGAAAAGGTGACAAATAGAGGGAGCAGGATGCACAGGTTTTTTTCCCTTAAGGTAAACAATTGTTTGAAGCATAATTTAATCACCATAAGCTGCATAAATCTTAGTGACAGCTCAATGAATTATGACAAATATGTACACCCAGAGAAGGGGCACAACCCCCTGGGTGAGGAACTGCAAATCAGTCAGGGGTGTGAGAGCCTGAGGGAGAAGGAAAAGACAGCCACTGGGTAGGAGTTGGGTGGCAGCAAAGCCCTGGGACCTAACCACAGAGAACACAAGGATTCCCCCAGCTTCCAGCGAATGGAATGCATGGAATGCCATCAAGAGCCACACAAACCAGGCGAGGCAGGATTCTCCTGATTTTTAAGATGAAATTTAAATTTAGGTCCACAGGACTGTGTGAAGCTGAGCTAGGACACACAGTGGAAACTGGCATATTTTTTTATTTGTGCGTTCTGCATTCAGTCGCAGAAGATCACACTGTATGATCAGGCACACATACCATTCTTTGTTCTATTCTAAGTCACAACAGCTGAGCTTTAGAACCTGAAGGCTCCTGCAATGGACTCATCCTGCACTGCCAGGAACAGGATGCTCCAGTGGTGCTGCTATCCACAAGGAAAAGAGGTGCTACAAACTCATAAAGGGGGAAAAGAGGGCCCCATAAGAAAATGGGCAAAAGACAGAAATAGCCAAGTCAGCGACCCCAGACAACAAAATACTACAAGAATCTAAACCGTGTGCTTAACCAAGAAAATACAGACTAATACAAAAATGGAAAACCTTCTCTTTTTTTTCTACATTCAAAGGGAGTTTTAAAAAATGATATTTAGCTGGGCATGGTGGTGCACACCTCTACTCCCAGCAACTCAGGAGGCTAAGACAGGAGGATCGCAAGTTTGAGGCCAGCTTCAGCAATTTAGTGAGATGCTGTCTCAAAAAGAAAAATAAAAAGGGATAGGGATGTGGCTCAGTGATCAAGCACCTCTGGGTTCAGTCCCCAGTATAAAAAAACACACACACACACACACACATTTAATTTTTTTAAATATATACAATATTGCTACTCTCATCTTTTTTTTTTTTACATTTTTTTTTTTTAGTTGTCGATGGATCTTTATTTTATTTATTTGGATGTGGTGCTGAGACTCAAAACCAGTGCTTCCCACATGCTAGGCAAGTACTCTACCACTGAGCCACAATCCCAGCCCTACACATTTAATTTTGATGATATTACAGGGAAAGGACCCTTTTAACACATTGCTGTTCTAGTACAAGATGGTAAGAACCACCATGGAGTCTGGTGTGGTGGCAAACGCCTGTAATCCCAGTGATTCATGAGGCTGATGCAGGAGGATTGCAAATTGGAGGCCAGCCTGAGAAACTTATCAAGACCCTCAGCTACTCAGCAAGACCCTGTCGCAAAATTAAAAATAGAAAGGGCTGGGGACGTAGCTCAGTAGTAAAGTATCCCCAGGTTCAAGTTCCAGTACCAATTAAAAAAAAAAAAAGAACCATCAAGGAGGATAATTTGTGGGTATTTGATACAACAAAAACTATGCAAGCCCCGTGACTGAAAAAGTCAACTCCTAGGACATCTTCCAGTGGCCTGCAGGATAACAGATTCCAAATATGTCCAAATCCTAATCCTCAGGGCTTATGACTGTTAGTTTTGCATGGTAAAGGGAATTCAGGTTGCAGTGAAAATGAGATTGCTAATCAGCTGATGTAAAATTAGGGAGATTATCCTAGATTATTTAGAAGACCCAACATAATCACAGAGGTCCTTAAAAGTGGAAAAAGTAGACAAGAGAACAGGAGAGGCAGCAGCACACTGAGAGAGATGTGCACAAGGTTACCACTGGCCAAGGAATGCAGGTGTCTCTTGAAGCTGGAAAGGCAGGAAACAGATTCTACCTGGACTTCAGCCCGGTGGAACTTATTTTGGGCTGCTGACCTCCAGAACTGTGAGATGATAAATTTACATTGTTTATTTATTTATTTTTTTAAAGAGAGAGAGGTAGAGAGAGAGAATTTTAATATTTATTTTTCAGTTATCAGGCGGGCACAACATCTTTGTTTGTATGTGGTGCTGAGGATCGAACCTGGGCCGCACGCATGCCAGGCGAGCACGCTACCGCTTGAGCCACATCCCCAGCCCCAAATTTACATTGTTTAAGCCACTAAATTTGTGGTATTTTGTTATGGCCTCAACAGAAAATGAATTCACTACCTAAGGAAATGACAGATATGTACAAGTATTTCTTTCCTTTTTTTTTTTGGTACTGGGGATTGATGATTCAGGGGCACTTTAGCATTAAGCTACATCCCCAGCACCCTCCCCTTTTTTTATTTTAAGACAAGATCTCATTAAGTTGCTTAGGGCTCCACTAAGTTGCTGCAGCTGTCCTCAAACTTGTGATCCTTCTGCCTCAGCCTCCTCAGTCACTGGGATTATAAACGTGCATCACAGCACCCAGCAAGAAGCATAAATTTCTGAGTACATCCATGCATAAAATACAAAAATAGTTACCCTGTGTGTAAATATGACTGTACAACCCCCTGTGTGCAAATATGACTGCACAACCAGTATAACTACACATCATGTACAACCAGAAGAATGAGAAGTTATACTGCATTTATGTATAATGTGTCAAAATGCATTCTACTGTCATGTATAACTAATTAGAATAAAAAGAAATAAAAGTTGATATTCTCTGTCCATCTTCATCATTGCAAAATAAAATTCTGTTCTTGGGGGGGAAAAAAACAGATCTGAAAAAAAAAAATCCATCCTGAATTGAAAACACCTCTCTGGAAAAGGATGAAGTGACTGCAATTGGGGAGGAACTTTTACTTAAACTGCAACATTCTATATTGTTTTAACACATTTAAGGAAAATGTGTTCATCCACGCATTGCATAATTAAATGTTAAGTTTTAAGATGGGAGTTAGCCTATAAAGCATTCAAAGCATATATTTAAAATCACCATAAAGTAATAAGACTCAAGAAATGAAAACTACAATGAGCACTGTAATCTTTTCTACCCATCCCAAAGGCTCTACAAAGATGGAGACCTCGAAGTCCACATATAAATATTATCAGTGGCTCCAATGGTGTAGGCAGAAGACAGAGAAGAGGAAATTCACTATACACCCAGAAGACATACTTCTCCAAGAAATCAAAATGAACCTTGTGGAAGTATGAAACATATCTCTCATTTTCAAAGGCTCAGGTTTTCTGACCCCTGTCCACCCAGCCAGGGTCCCACCAAGATACACTCCCTGGAACCACCATTAGTGACTTTGGGCAAGTTACTAATCTCTGGTTAGTTTTCCCAAGGTAAAAATGGTTTGCTGCATTACTTCACCTCCCTGCAGGATGAGCGCCAGAAATCAAATGGAATGAATTGACAGGCTACATACCAGGAGCCTGTGGATCCCACTGTTAAGACTCAATCGGCTGAAAGAATACTGTGTACATGGTGAAGCACGGCACTGTAGAGTGTGACATGATTATGGACAAAATGAGCAGTCCTGATACAATCACCGCCCAGGCAAGGAAGGACAACTACCTGTAGGGAGTCCAGGCAAAGTCAAAGAGAAAACAGCTCCAGGGTAGTCCAGAGCTCAAGTTATCAGCAAATCACACCATAATGGCAGTCATTAAATGAGTCCAATATGAAACTTTTGTGGCACTCCCTCTTTTGCAAAGAGACTACTGAACTACCTCCCCTGCTGCTTCACAAGTCAGGTAAAAGCAAGCTCTCAGTCCAGTCACAGCCTCCCAGGGGGTCCAGACTAGGGCCCTGGTATAGGTGGGTCCACACTGAGATCCAACATGTGACCTCATGAACACAATGTTCTACCCAACAAGAGCTGTCACATGCTTCCCCTTACACAGACTCCAGTGAGAGGGAAAAAATAATTAAAGGCAGGGCGTTCTGCCTAGACTTGGGGGTTTTTTGTTTTGTTTTTTCAGTTCTGGGACTGAACCCAGGAATGCTTTACCAGTAAACAACATCCCCAGCCCTTTTTATTTTGAGACAGGGTCTCCATAAGTTGCTTAGGGCCTTGCTAAGTTTCTGAGGCCTGGAACTTGGGATCCTCCTACCTCAGTCTTCCCAGTGGCTGGAATTACAGGCACGCGCCAGGCTACGTTTGACGATTAACTGACGTAAAGACCCTTAATCGGCGGGGCGTGGTGATGCACGCCTGTAATTCCAGTGGCTCAGCAGGCTGAGGCAGGAGGATCGCAAGTTTAAAGCTAGGCTCAGCAACTTGGCGAGACCGTGTCTCAAAATTAAAATTTTAATTAAGGTCTGGGGATGTGGCTCAGTGGTAAAGAGTCCCG